CCTCCCCAACTGCACACCAACAGTTAGGGGTGTTAAAGCGGCGGAATTTGGGGCCAAAAAAACGTCCGGTCCATTCGGCAAAATTTGAGGGGGGCACGCGGATTTGGTTCTTTTTTTGGTTCTTGATAATCCCGCTGTTGATTCTGAATTAACTACACATCAAGTCAATTTGTTTGTACAGGCAGCTCTGCGTCCAGCCAGCAGCATGGCTCTTCATGCGTTACACACACCTGGACACAGGTCCAATAGAGGTGACTGTAAGGTCGATATTCTCTTGAAGTTAAGGGGCGGACGAACAACACCAAAAAACATGTTTTTTTGGGCTCTTTGCTCCACGCCCAAGGCGACCTTTGCTCCTCTCGGTCTCGCGACCTTACAGCCCTCTACCTTGGGCTTACAGTTATACTTCCACACAACAAACCGCATCCGAATCGCATCAGCCAACCACGAGATCTACATGTCTGAAAACGGTCCCTCCAGTGGGGCGGCAGCGCCCACACCAGCAGACCCTCCCAAAAACAAAATCGAGGTCCGCGCCGTTCGGCAGCAGGAGGCGCGCTGCGCGAAAGCTGAATCAACACAAAACGAAGTTTGAAGAGAGGACGGGGCAGCGTATGGTTGCCACGCCAGCAGAAGATAACACGCGGTGCGCTATCGAACGCGGCAGCCTCACCGTCGTACAGAGCACGCTGNCGCGAAAGCTGAATCAACACAAAACGAAGTTTGAAGAGAGGACGGGGCAGCGTATGGTTGCCACGCCAGCAGAAGATAACACGCGGCGCGCTATCGAACGCGGCAGCCTCACCGTCGTACAGAGCACGCTGGAGGAAACGAAGGAGGAGTTGGTCAAAAGTAACAAAATTGTGGAAGAGAGCCAGGCTCAACCTCGCTGCCGCCGCCGCCGCCGCCGCTGCTGCTGCTGCTGTTTTTTTCAGCAGCAGCAGCGGCGGCGGCAGGTGTCTGCGTGGCTTCACCGCCCGGCTGCTGCTCGGGTGTGTCATGAGGCATGTGTTCTAGAGTGGGACCGCGCAATGGTGATGCGCTGTGCGCCATAGCAGGGCGCAAAGCACACAGGCGAGCCACGCCCTCGCGCGTGTGTGTCAGAGGGTCTTTTCGGGAGGTTCCGACGGTCCCGTGCAATTTCATTGGTTGGTCGATTTTCCATCAGCAAGATCCGAGGACGCTTTTTTGAATTTTTTCCTACAGGAAATTTTCCGCTTTGACACCCTTAACAGTACCTGGTTGCTGATGCCCGCGTTGATCTTGCGGCTGGTCAGGGCGTTCAGTATCCTGTCGGGGCTAACGTCCAGCAGGCGGGCGGCCGCCTCGAGACGCGGGCGGCTCGGCTCCGACAGAGCCGTCAGCGCTTCGCCGTCCCCAGCGTCCGGTCGATCGACGAAGTCCACGTCCCCGAGGGCGAGAACGGCGGCCACCATGCGGAACACGCTGGCCTGTTTGGGGGTTCACACGCCGTCGTTGAACAAATTAACTGTCGTGTTGGCTATGATGGGTTGTTCACCGGCGTTACAAAAAAAAATGTTTAGTTATGCTGTTAAGTGGATGATGAGTTCTTGTTGTAGTGGAATTGATTGGGGTTGTCGGCGGGACTGCAAACATCACGCCGTTCGTACGGCTTCATAGGAATCGTGTCCAGAAAACAAACCGGCGGCTGGCCAAAGCAAAGCCACTCGATACCCACGGCAACGGAAGACTGCACGCATCCATAGCTCTTGACGCCGCCGATGAACCCGAATCATTTTCTGGGAATGGAGCGATTTCAGAAAACGACACTCTCGAATACAACTTTGTCAAGAGGTGAGCTTGAGAGACGGGGAAGCGCGAATAGCAAACACGACTGGAGGACACCGTGAAAAGTTAGCGAGGGAGAGAGAGAGTCGCCTATGAAGCAGAGCTTAAGGACCCCAGGCGACGGGCAGCAAGAAGCAAAACAGGAAAAATACGCTCCAGCAGTGTGAGATGGCACCTTTGGGCCACCCCCGCTCGTCACACAACAAAACCGCCGTAGCAACGCACGAGAGCGCAGTGGCGGTGGCGGCAGCACTCTCATTGGCTTCCGAAAAACCTTTCTCCGACACCGCTGCGTTCCCGCCCCACACCAACAATGTTGTTCCTCCCCTTCTCCCCCCAGCGTGGTCAATGGCCCAATGATTGAGGCATGCAAAACATGAGTGCGCCCCCGCCCCGCCCCCCACGTAGGAAGGAGCGACTGGCCATCGGTGATCGGTCCTGTGGGAACAATGCTCCGTCCTCTCGAGGACGCGTGGTCAATGGTCCAACCGCTACGGCATGAAAAATATTAGTACCCCTCCCCCCCACCGGACGGACGACTCGCCTTCTCGTCCTCCTCGAAACCCATGACCTTGAACGCCTCCATCAGCTCCTGGTAAAGCTCTGAGTCCAGCACCTCGTCGCGGCGGTCGTAGCAGCCCGACTGCGACGTGAACTGGTGGCTCCTGAGGTCGCCCATCGCCCAGCCCTCGCGCTGCTCGGGGGAAGCCCCCGCCGCCAGCATGTAGAAGATGTGGTAGTTGCGCTCCATCGCCGAGTGCTTCACCACTCGCACCTTCTCGAGGAGGAAGGTCTTGATCTGCGCCCCGGTTAGCTTGCCGTAGCTGTCGAAGATGATCTGCGTATCGCGGCGTTGTGTTGCCGGTGGGCGTACGTCGTTTCAATGGGTGGCACTATTCAACCGTGCTTCGTTTATTGTGTAGATACACGTCCTTTGTGGTGGATTTGTGCTTACGAATATACGCATGAAAACACTTTACCACAACATAAGAGTTGCAAGTCCACGCAACGGACAGTGTAAATCTCACCGTCGAAAGCCGCGTGAGGCTGCTACCGCATGGCCGTCCACATCAACGATCTCCAGCGGAGTCAAGCGACCCATCCCCTAACCAACGAGAAACTACGGGCCACACACATTATCGAAGCACGACCCATCCCACTGGCTTGCCTACAGGGTCCTCTCACCTGGATGTACTTTCCGAACCGGCTGGAGTTGTCGTTACGGACAGTCCTGGCGTTACCGAACGCCTCGAGGATAGGGTTGGACTCAAGCACCTGTTGCTCGATCGTGCCCAGCTCGGTCGACCCCGTCTTGCTGCCGAGGATGGCCAGATACTTCATGATGATCTTGCATGTCTCCGTCTTTCCCGCCCCGGATTCGCCACTCACCAGGATGGACTTTTCCCGTTCAAAGGCAACACAAAGTGATTCATTCGGCAGGAGGGGGTCGATTGTTGATGGTCACCAAGCAAGATAGAGGCAGGGGAGGCGAGACCAGGCCGACGTTGGGTTGACACAAATTAATTACGGTGCTGGTACAGCAAGATCGGATGAACCTTTGTTTTAAACCATCGTATGTATCTAAGAAAAAAGAATGTCGCATCTCTGCCTGATTTCTTCGTCCGACGTTGTCTCCTGAGGGGTAAGTGCGGTACTGTAATCGACTTACAGCAGTACCGTTTTCGGTATGTGTGTATGGTTTTCACATGCACATAGAATATTGCTTGGAATCTTGAGTTGTCAATTTAAAGAGACGGAGGGTGAGATTCTTTTGTTCGGGTGTAGAAACCCAGATTTCCCAAAGACCTGACCCACCTAGAGGCCGCAGGAGCAAACGCGACACCTTCTCCCCCCGCGGTATGCTGAATGATTCAACACATCGCGAAACATGACATACGACAGTCCGTACGCAAACACAGCACCAGTCGACCATGATATGTATCATGCTGCGCACACAACAGAGGTAACAGGTAGCGAGCGGGCTCCCGTTGGACTAACTATTTCCTTGCTGCAAGGCTGCTGCCAACGAACGAGTCCGGGAGACTGCTGGGTGAGCACATCGCGTGGGTTGGTATCTAGGGACTACTGCTGTTAATTTAGCGGCAGTATCATCTCTCCTACCGATCTGAGGTGTTGGGTTGGTCAATGTGTCATTTTGACTCTTTCGGTGGTTGTCCCGCGTAGACCTGTATGTACAACGGATGTGTAACGTAGAACAAGCTCTGCTGGGGTACACTTTATTAGTTCTTATCGCGCTTGTGTGATGATTTGCCTTGGGTCCTCTTGTGTCTCTCTGCTCTCTTCATACTAAGCAAACATACCCACACGGAAGGTGTTCGTGTCTTCGGTCCGCGTCAGTTGGGCCAGCGCGGAGGTCAAAAGCGTACTCAAGAGCGATCGGAACGGTTTTTAGAAAACAGAAGGAAACCAACACTGCCATGTAGTAGCCGGAGTTCACCTCCGTGCAAGTGTGACGCTTTTTTCCAATGCTCAACACTAGAGCCGCCAGTGCTAAAGGGCAAACCTTGTGTCGTTATCAACACTGTCTTGATTCCCAGCCACCTCAACGGCCTCTTTTTTTATCCACACTGTCCGCAGTTACAATGTGAGCGGGGATTCAGCATTGCTTGAGTTTTCCGGGTGCGTATCTCATATCCTATGCGTACGCCCGCGCCAAAATTGCACAGCAAGAGCGTTACCTAACAAACGTCCTCCTGTTACAATATTTGGTAGCAGCAGTTGTGACCATGAAGCCAGTGACGTACTGAGCTAACTAGGTGCCCTGCATACAAAACAGCGAGCATGGCGAAGAGAAGAGCTGTCGCAAACCGTTGTCATGGGAGTGCGATATACGAGAAGAAAACCAATCAGATCACCGAGCGTTGTGACGGCGCGCGTGCTATGCCCGCCGGGCATGACACTTCGAAGACGTGAAAGTGCACCACCCGTCCGTCGACAGCACCAAGGCCTACGCACCCACCCACCCACACGCACACCAACCCATACCTGAGACCGGTGCTCGTACTCGTTGGAAGGGGCGGTCATGTTGCGGTACGCTTTGTCAGCGATCGCGTACACATGAGGGGCCAGGGTCTCATCGTAGTTCGGGTCGTAATGCCGCAGCTCGCCGTCCTTGCGGTAGGCCGCCAAAATGTCGTCCGAGTACAGCTTGACCCTCTTGAAGGGGTTCACCGCGAGGAGGATTGGGCCGACGCCGGTGTAGATCAGGTCCGACTCGTAGCGCTGGCTCAGCGAGTAGAGGATGGTGGGCTCGTGCAGGTAGGTGAGGGAGGTGAGATCTTCCACTCCCGCGCCCTCCAGTGTGGAGGCCTGTCCGGTCACGTTCCGAAGCTTGACGTCCGTGCACTCCTCCTCTTCGTCCGCCGCCACGGCGAACTCCGCCGTCCCCCCCTCCTCCAGCACAACCGTGATCCGCGCGACGCCGCTGCCGCCCGTTCTGTCGGGCACGCGCTTGCTAACCACCCCCTTGCGCCACAGCTGGGGCCCGCCCTTCGCCCACACCTTGACCCCTTCTTCCATGTTCGACGCTGCTGTCGTTCAAAACAAAGAGCGCGCCGTTAAAAAAAACCCGCACACAGAAAACCGACTCGGGTAGTCCCACGTGGCACGCACGGGATACCCAGTGCTGCTACCTTCCGCCTTTCTCTCTCTTCCGCCAGAAGGGGGTGGGGGACGGGGCGGCGGTCGCTGTGGCTGTCTCTGTCCCTCTCCTCTATCTCTCGGGCTGCTGTTGTGTATACCGGTTTCTAATAACCGTTGGTTTTTAGGGGGACCGCAACTCACCACATACCCCTTTCTCAAGAAGATACCATTTGGCGGAGCGCCCCGAGATATTTGCGCCGCAAATCACACCAGCAACGTTGCGTCGTACCTCCCATCCATTCGTGCCCTTCTGTGTTACCATGAGGAAAGATCTCACGGCGCTGCTGGCCCGCGCTGAGGTGGATCAAGTAGAGACTTCGCAGAATTTAATCACTCGATTGGTGAAGCTCGTGGCAGAAGATAACAGTGACGTGGATGCTCGCGAAGCTCTATTTCGTTGCCTGGGCAGCTCTCGTCTAGCCGTGGTTTCTTCAGGGTGTCAAGGTGTCTGAAGTGTGCAGTGAATTACTTTCGCCAGGCTAACATGAGTTGTTATGTAAACTTCGAAGTAAAAGTATATCCTATGCGCGTCAGCTAAAAGTAGACTATCAATAGGGATTCATTTTTCAATTACCTCGCAGCAACTACAACCAGCTGGTGCTGCCTCTGTTGCTTGTGTGTGCGATGAACTGCTGGGCATGTCTTGCCGGGGCGTAACCAAAGAAGGACGGCGTGCCCTGTTTTTTCGCTTCGCATAACCTGGCACAGCAGTAGTGGTGTCGATCTCCCATTGGTCTCGTTCTACGTTAGAATACTATGCTTGCGTTGACGACCTCAAATCAAACTTGAACGCGGGCTTGCGAATTTCATGTCCGAGCGAAAAGCCTGGTGTGTCGACTGTGTGCCGCCTTGGAATCAGAGNAAAAAAAAAAAAAAAAAAAAAAAAAAAAAAAAAAAAAAAAAAAAAAAAAAAAAAAAAAAAAAAAAAAAAAAAAAAAAAAAAAAAAAAAAAAAAAAAAAAAAAAAAAAAAAAAAAAAAAAAAAAAAAAAAAAAAAAAAAAAAAAAAAAAAAAAAAAAAAAAAAAAAAAAAAAAAAAAAAAAAAAAAAAAAAAAAAAAAAAAAAAAAAAAAAAAAAAAAAAAAAAAAAAAAAAAAAAAAAAAAAAAAAAAAAAAAAAAAAAAAAAAAAAAAAAAAAAAAAAAAAAAAAAAAAAAAAAAAAAAAAAAAAAAAAAAAGAAGGTCGTGTGACCCCGGTTGGGTCGTCTAGCTAGTAGAAGTGGAGGATAGGGACCAAAGGGGCAGACGACAGAGTCCAATGATGGGAGAAAAACAAAAACAAACAAAAAAACAAGGTCGTGGTTAGGCCGCTCGGCGGCTAAGAGCGGCCCAAGTCACTGAATGCCATTCGCATGTTTTAATCACAATGTCGGCCTCAAGACGAAATGCCCTGGTTTACGCGGTGGGTTCGCTGCATACATGTACAAACAGGCCTCACGCAGTTGCTCGAGAGTCAAGACAGCAGTGGCATCGACTTGATCGAGTCAGGCGATGAGCTCGTGAAACACCTGAAGGTAGCCATGGCCAGGGAAGAAGATCAACGGAACCAGCAAGGGGATGGAGCAAGGCATAACCAGGAACATGGGGTGACGCAATGCTTAACGAGGTGTCTAGTGGCGATCTCCCGGTTGAGCGTAAGGCGGGAAGCGCAGCCTACTGGCGGGGGAGAAAAGGGAGTAAGGGCTGGGGTGGCAGAGAGCGGCGTTTCGGCGATGCTGTTGTCTATGAACCGCGGCTTGCTATTCCCGGCGCTTTCCCACGAGACCACTTGCTTCTTGAGTCGGTTCAACACCGATCCGCGGGAAGCAGTTCGTGTTGTGTGTCCGCTGGCTTCGGCCCTCCTCCTGCAACCAGAATGTGAGTCTGCGCTGCATGAGACGTATTTTAGAGGAATCGATCGGCCTTCCCTGCCCGCAAGTGTTGCATGATATAGTGCCAAGGACTGCTCCACTCATCGTATCCTTCGTGTTATCTCTTCCTCTCTACCGCCGAGCTTTGTGTACTTTGCAACCCACCGTGCTCTCCTGCCGCCTTGTGCTATTCGTTCCATGCGTAAATTTACGCACCGCTGGTATTTTCATCCTCCAGATGCCAATCTCCGCAGTGGTTTCATGCTGAAGCTAATGATGGCCTCGGCGACTGCGAGCGACGCGGTCAAGCTTTGCCTTGTCATCTTGCAGGCAGAGCTGCTGGTGTTTGGCGCAATGCATACCGGAGCGCATGCTGACGTCGCTGCGGGGTGGTTTTGCGCTTTGGTGAACATCGCTGTGTCCCTCGACAGCGATCCTGCTTGGGATCGAGCTTCGCGGGCGCTTGCCGGGGTAGGCATCTTTCTTCTCTCCGAGTTTCGAGGTGAGTTTATCGTATATTGAGGTACTGATGGTATTCATACGCGCAAGAGATCACTTGCCAGTTGCCCAATGTACTCGTTTGCAACTACAGTTGCGGCCCGCCGTGGCTAATAAACACACCTCAAAACGGAGGCAATAACAAGCAACACCCGAATAAGTAAACACGCCCACAGAGGCACGAAGGACAAGAAACTAGGGGACAGAGCTCATCGTGCATCATACGAAAAACATACGCGCACTCCCTGCTACCTACACCCGCCCCCGGCCAACTGTATTTTGTGCCGACTTGGGGGTGCGAGATATTGAGCGTGAACTTGCGGCGCCACCGGCTGCGCGCACGCGACCGTCTCGCGTGACTTTATATAAAATGATATTTTAAGAAAATCATGAGTATTCGACAGCCAGAATTATAAGAAACTTAGTTCAAGAAAAATGGAAACTTCTACTGGTGTTTACTCCAGAAATCAGTCGTTGAGCCTCTACCCGAAATTACGTTTCTTATTTGCGGACCGCAACTGTAGCGTTTGTTTGGGTTTTGTGGACGGAGAGCTGGTAGCTATCCGCTCTGGTTTTGCTATCGTGATGGTTGTCACCACTCTTGAGTCTAGATCGATTTCTCAGCCTTTTGCTTTAAACCTCCACTGCCGAACGCTGGATTTATCGTATCTGTGCAGGACGTGGGGTGCCGATCACGCCTGTCCTGAGTCCGATGCAATTCTTGGCGGCAGCAGACCCCCTTTGCCTCGCGGATGAAGTGGCCTTCTTGGCGATAATCGCGCTGCAGAGCCACTGTATCGACGAGCGCGAGGCCTTACTCGACATTGTTGGTCGCACGTTAAGCGCCATGGGACCGCGCGTCTTGCACGACCCCAAAGTAATTCCAGACATCGTTGATGTTCGCGTAAGAACGTGGTCACTGGAAACCCTTGTTTATCCTTTGGTGAGCATGGCCGCTACGGGAAATCCAGTGGCAGCGAACGTACTGCCGCTGCTTGAAGGTATGCTAGGTGGCGTGTACTCTCGGAGTAAATCCAAGACAATGACAGACGCGAGAGTAGAGGGCGATCGTGGCTCTGCCGGAAACGAACATTTAAGGCTTTCAAGCCCGGTTGCGCTTGGTATCCGGCGACTGGGTATGCTGGATGGAGACCAGCAGGCGATGATCGTTGCTTGCATGGGGCTGAAGCAACGTGCGAGTGATCTCCGTGGTTCGAACGGTGGTGTCACTGACGCGGGAAGAGATGCCTCGGCTGTAGCAGATCTGGAGTGTGGCTTGTGTCTTCTTGCGCCACTCCTCCTCCAACCGAACGAGCAGACCCATGAAGCGGTTTGTACCGTTCTTGTGGCCGTAGTTCGGGCCGTACCCTCTCTGGGGGTCCGCCTCTTGCCTTTCGTATTGTATGGAATTCGGAAGCTTGGGCAGGTTGCGAGCGAGGGTGGGAGCGTTGCGCGCCTTCTCCATCTCTTGCCGGAACTAGGTGCGCACAAGCTATCGGCTAAACCTGTCACTGCTGTAATACAAGCATTGGCGAAGGCGCCGCAGCAAGCGGTTCGAGGGCTAGGCATGCGGCTGGTGGCTGCTTTGGTACAAGTCAACCCGAGGTGAGTTGATTTGCTTTTCGCAGAACACTTGGTCGTTGAGGACAGGCATCGCACTATTTTGCAAGTTTTCATTTTTGGAAGACCAACACTCGTCTAACTTGCTCGGGTGAACGCAAGAGGAGGTCGTGTGAAGCCCTTTCCTGTTATGACCACCGTTTCTTTGCTTAACCTGGTCGCACACCGGCCTCGCCCATCCTGCATTTGGCAGGACTTTCGATCAACTGCAGTCACTTCTCTCCGAGACTCCTGCCGACCACACTCCGCCGTTATCACCGGAGCCAGATGAGTCCCGCCTCTGCCGTGCCGCCGGTATGCTTGAAATCTGCGAGACCCACCCCGAGCTTGGCTTGGAATGCGTTCGGCCGCTTCAGGGGTTTCTGGGGGACGGATCGAGTGCGGTAACCGCGTTGGCCCTCAAAGCGATCGCTGCCTTGTGCCGGAGCGATTGCCTCGATTTTGGCGCCGCCCTTCGGATCGTGACTAAAAAGGGCAAAGTTGCCCATACTGGACGTGATGACAGCGATGCGTTCGGAGACCCGCGGGTTATGGAAGGTATGGCGCAACTTTGCGGTGCCGGCGCGGAGGCGGTAACAATGGCGACGGCCGAAGCCGCAGAAGCGGGCTCAGACGGGTCGGGCGAGGACAGTGACGTGGGGTGGGGTATGGGGAAGGCTGTAGAAATTCTCTTGGCGGGGGGCCTTGGGTATCATCCCGACGACGGCGTCCGTTCAGCCGTTTATGAGGCTCTCGGGTTTCACCTCCCTGCACTCCTGCGAGCTGCGAGTGGCAAGAACGCGGAGGAAGAAGCCATCGTTGCAGCCCGACACGTCCGGGTATTCCTTGCACAAGCCATGTCAACCGACGGAAGCTTGGTGGTTCAGTCGAATCTTCGGAAAGCGGTGAAAATCGTGGTGGCCGACGAGAGTGTCGAGCCGTCTACATGGGTATCGGCTAAGCGGGACGGGACCAGCCGTGACGGTGGACAAAAGAGGAGCGTGAGGCCGGGTCCCTCAAACCGTCTCGTGGCAGCTCTGCCTGAACCGGAGAGTGTTCTTCAGGGATTTCGTCAGGATGACTCGTCTTGTCCAGGTCTAGCCGGCGCGGTGTTGTGGAGCTACCCTGCACCTCAGGCGACGGCAGTTGTAGCGCACCGAGACATCATGATTCGTGATTTTGGCGAGTTGATGGCGGTAGAAGGAACCGGAGGCGGGCTGGCGCTTTGCCCATGGCAGCGAGCTGGAACTCTCAGTGGCATCCAGCGATACGTGGCACGGCTATTTGCTGCTTGTGTCGCGGCAGAGTCCACTGAAGCGGCCGGGCGAGGAGAGGCCCGCAGTGGCACAGATGTTACGGCGGCGGCCGTGGAAGCTTGCCGTCAAGCAATCGGTAATATTCGCGGCGTTCAAGGAGGGCTGGTCGCCGTTGCTTCTGCGAGCCTGGCCAGCTGCGTCCCGGCTTCATTCTACCATGTTGCCGTGGTAGAGACTGGCCGCGCTGTGGGTCGCTTGCGCGGATGTACGGGAGGTGCCCAGACTCTATTGGATGGCGAAGAAATGTTCCCTCTGTGCGCGGCAATGGCAGTACGGGCTCTTCCCGAAGCTTCCACCACACTCGTGGAAAATACTCTCGAGGAGATTGAACGCTTTCACAGCACGGCAGTGGAAGGTTGGACAACGAGTCGAGATTCGGCGGCGGCAGTTGGGGAGGTCATGACTCCAAACGAGGCTCAGTCATTTTGGTCCTGTGTGGCCGTCGGCGTGGCATCTGAGTGGGGACTTCGGCATCCTACAGCTCCAGGGGCCCGGATTGCGGTCTTGCGTGCCGTGCGGTGCTTGCTCGCGGGCTTGGCGAATGCGGTTAGATCGGACCATATACACTCCATTGCCGAGACGTGGTTCGTGGGAAACGGGAGCGTAGCGGCCCGCGAAAATCGGGCTGCCGTAGTGGATTGGGAGAGCGTAGATATTGGGCAAGCCGTTCACTGGGAAGACTCGGAGATAGGATTGCCCACCACAACGCGGGGGTCAATCTGTTTGGCGCTGTTCTTAGGTCTTTCTTCCTCCTTACCCGGGCTCCGTGCTACGGGCCTGCATTCGGAGCTTTTTCAGGTGAGAAAGGATGACTCTATTTGTTCGTTTTGCTGCGAAAAGTCAACACCAACGAGGATAGTATTCTGAGAGTATGTTGTAAAAACTCCATGAATTTTTGTGCTTTCTCGCATGCTTGCCTCTTGGTCTACCCCACCCCGAATTTAGCTTGGATGACAACACCCTTTGCCCTTCCTAAGGGGTGCCCATGCGCCCAAACGTGCCATCCTGCCTTTGCCACGTCCTGCGCCCACCCCACCCCTTCCGGCCCCTCGGAAACAGGTGTTCAGCGTTGTACAGGCCCTCGCTTTGAAGCCTTTAGCAGGGTTGTGCGGGGCTACGCTTTGCCTTGCTGCTGCTGCGTCGGAGTGCATATCATGTGGTCTTGTTGATGCGCCGGTAATTCTCACGTGCCTGCGGTCGGTAAGTGTCAGTCTTGACGGCCTCGCCAATCCATCTGGGAGTGAAAAACTACCGGCACAAGACGTTTCCCTCGGGGCGGCTCGTCTCATTGTTGTCTGCGAGGGCAAGGTGGTTCTCCCGCCTGGCTTCGCTGAGTCACTGTTCGAAAGCTTGCGGAAGGCCGCGGCGCATCGGAGAGGCGCCGATAGCGGCGTCCGCGTGGCATCCTTGTTGGCGCTTGCATCTTTGATTGGCTGCCCGTTGATGGCCCCTGGCGAGCTCGTCCCAAGGCGACTGCGTGTCACCTCCATCACGAATCGAAGAATGGTGGAAACCCTCTTGCAAGACGTGCTTGAGGCAATGCAGGGCACATCGATCCGCCTGAAGAACGCCGCAGCGCGGGTGTGGGGGTGTTTGTCTGCGCTCGGCCAGGACGAGCGATCGGTGGGAAACTCGAGCTTGCAAGAGTCGCTTGGGTGGACGGAGGACGGCGGGACACATGGCATCAGTGGCCCCGCCGCCGCCTCGATCAAACCGGGCGCTTTGCGCGTGGCTCAGGATGGTACACTGATGAACGTGGTGTTGACCGGGCTTCAGTCCATCGCAACAACTTTGGAAGACATCGAGCATGGCGACACGGAGACAGTAAACTTCAAGGCAGTTGTTCCGGTGCAATCTTCACTCTTCGCGGCATCAGCGATGGCAAGCCTAACGTTTTGCCCCACTCTACGAATCCCGCATCCGCAAATGGCTATAGTGATCGAGGCGCTGTTCAGGGGCGGCCACGGGGTGGAGGTTCAGGTGAAGTGCATATCGTTAGGCCTTGCGCTTGCGGACAAGGAACAGGCTTACTCGACCTGGCTCCGCGGGCTGTTCGACAGGCCGTTCTTTGTGAATCTTCCGCGCGACGTGCAGCATCATCTCGTCGCGGTTTTCGATCAGCTTTTTTTGAAGCTGCCATCGGAGATAGGGAAGGACCTCGCCAAGAAGCTCTGGGATACCATCACCCCCCGCTTTTTTTCCTCCTGGTCGAGGGCTTCGGGTCCGGAGCGGGAAGGCGTCGTGGTAGATGGCAAGGAAGGAAGCAGTCAAGCAGCGGCTTTCTTGTCTGGCATGAGTGTTCTTGTAGCAGCGGGGACTCGTGGTGAGGTCGAAAGCATGACGCTGACAAGGTTTTTGCCTTCTGTCCTACATGCTTTTTGCACCAGAGATGACCTGTCGCGCTTCGATTTGGACGTCGAGGAGGCTCCCTTTTGGGACGCGTTGGTTGGCTTGCTCTCCCACCTTCCCTGGGAACAGGTACAGGATGCTATCGCCTCGAAACCTGGCGCTACCAACACGAAAACAGCCTCCGTCAAACTTTGCGAAGAATGCCTCCGGGAATACCTCACTACCCGGTTGACACCGCCGGGTGAAGCCAGCACCATTTTTTCCACGGGTGGAATGATTTCACGATCCTCCCCTCCGTCGGCCGCAGCCACCATCACAACCGCTAAGGCGCTTGGCTCGGTGGCCCGGTGGGCGACCCGAATACGGACCGATAGGAAGGCTAGCGCAGCTGTCCTGCCACGTCTGGCGGAAGCGCTCAAACGCATCAATACCACTGCCGCGGCGGGCAAGTGGCTGGTTACGCTGCTCGACATGGCTGAACTCCCTGAGAGTTGCGTGGTGCGCGCCGCAGCGCTTGCGGGCGGTGCGACGGACATTTGGGAACCTTCGACCGCAGGACTCCTCATTGTGGGTGAAAGATCGGACGCCTTGTTGGGGAGTGGCGCATGGGGCATGGCCCATGGCGGCGCTCTTTTGTACTCCTTGAGCGTGACTGCGCCACGAGCCGTGGCGAGGGTAGACAGGACTTCGCCGGACGTGTCTACAGATGTTTTGGCGCGTTTGTTAAGGCTTACGGGGTTGTTGCATGGGAGAATTGGCGACGCGAAAGAGGCCACGGACCAGCGCCGCGTCGTCGATCTGGAACAGGTAGTGTATGGTGTCGAAGGTTTCATCAGGGGACTACGGCACGCTCCGGCCGTGCTGAACGGAACGCTGTCTAGGTCGTTTGCAATCTACGTGGAGTCTGTGGCGACATATCGTGCCTTAGAATAGAGAAAGGTTAATTGATTTGTAGCCGGGTGTGCCTACCTTACTCGTTTTCAGACTAGATCCTCAGCCCACAAACCAAATGCTGGATATCGGACCGTTAGAACATGGTTGGTTGCCCCCGCTGGCGCTTGGTACGTCTAATTTGGAACTGGCGTACGTGCAACAATGGATCTTCAGAGGTTCGGTCCGTTTGCCGTTTCGTTGTAGAAAGTACAACAATTGTAGCAGGTATGGAGGGTATTAAAGATTTACATGCATTTGGATTCCGTTGATGTTTCCTGCGTGAGCGTTGGTACGCGTTGGAGACCGATAATTTCGCGTTTATCGCCCTACGTGCGGCAATTTTGCGACGCAGGATGCAGGGCGGGTATTGCGTACACGCTAAACTTTGTAGCCAAGGCTACGCGCCAGACCATAGCAAAGACGCCGCAACAGGGGTGTACAAAGCCACTTGGTGTAACTTCCATACGTTCGGCGCTTCGTATCTTTAGTCTAGGTCTCTAGGGCGCACTTCCAGTGGACTAAAAATAATTACTTGCGCATCCAACAGCGTACTACACTTTATTTCAACATCCATCATGTTCGGTTCGACCCGAATTCAGAGAAAAGTTGTGGCCAAGCCCGGCAACACCTTGGGACATTGCCTACCACTCATAAAACCAGTTCTTTGTTAGTTCACACTAGGCAGATAACCCTAGCGTGATACGAAGCTGTAGACTATTGTTTTGAACGAAAACGATATCCCGCGCACGAAGTCGTCGATGGAAGATCCATGTTCGATAGATGCAGCGCTCGGTTCACGACGTCGATTTTTTATCCCATCTCTTTAGCCCCAGAACGCACACTTGCACCAACTACAGCAGTCTTGACCTGCGTCTGTCTGCCATATTCAACCTGCGGTATATGAGTAATATGAATAACTCAAGGCACCGTAGCACACCGCCTCCCGTGTAGAGCTGTCCACAGGTACCACCACCATACATGAAACTTTATACATGACATGGTTCTCGCAAATCTGTTATTGTCTTAATACAGTCGACCCCGCTTTAAGGAAACCGAAATTAAGAAAACTCCCCGGGCAAAGGAAACATTTTTCACCGAAACACAATACCCCGCAGAATGTGAAATATACGGAGGGTACATATTCTAGTCCGCGGATCCCCTTATAGCACGTTTTTCTCGATGCTTTCGAAATTTGTCATTATTATTTTGCGTACCCCCTTTGCTCGCCAAGGGGGAGGGGAAAAGAGCGGAGACCAGGTAGGGCAACACCACACACGCCCCCGGTCTACTCCTTACGATCAGTATAAACATCAGCCACCCAACAGACAGAGACATATAAACTCTGTCTGCCCCCAAACCTAAGGCTGGTGCGCCATACTG